GAATAGACTGATTACTACCAAGGAAATTGAATCAGTAATCAACAAGCTCCCAAAAAACAAAAGCCCTGGACCAAATGGCTTCATAAGTGAATTTTACCAAACATTAAAAAAAAAAATGTATCACCTATTCTACTCAAACTATTCCAAAAAATCCAGAAGGAGGGAAAGCTCCCAAACTCTTTTTATGAGGCCACTATAACCCTGATCTTAAAATCAGATAAAGACATTACAAAAAGAGAAATCTACAGGCTGATATCCCTGATGTATATAGATGCAAAAATCCTCAACAAAATATTAGCAAAGAGAATTCAGCAATACATTAAGAAGATCATACACTACGATCAAGTGGGGTTCATCCCTGGAATGCATAGTTGGTTCAATAGCTGTAAATCAATCAATGTGATGCACTGCATCAACAAAATGAAAAATAAAAATCATATGGTCATATCAATAGATGCAGAAAAAGCATTTGACAAAATCCAGCTGCCATTTATGATAAAAACTCTTAGCAAAGTGGGAATCAAGGGATCATATCTCAACATAATAAAGGTCATATATGATAAACCCACAGCTAACATCATATTCAATGGGAAAAGCTAAAACTATTCCCTTTAAGATCAGGAACAAGACAAGGCTGTCCACTTTCTCCACTTTTATTCAACATAGTTCTGGAAGTTTTAGCCACAGCAATCAGACAAGAAAAAGAAATAAAAGGCATCCAAATTTGTAAGGAGGAAGTAAAATTGTCATTATATGCAGATAACATGATACTATATGGAGAGAGCCCCAAAGACTCCACCAAAATACTATTAGAACTGATAAATGAATTCAGTAAGGTAGTAGGATACAAAATCAATATTCAGAAATCAGTTGCATTTGTGTACACCAATAACAAACTATTAGAAGGAGAAATTTTGAAAACAGCCCCATTTACAGTTGCTTCAAGAACTATAAAATACTTACAAATAAATTTAATCAAAGAAGTAAAAGACCTGTACTCAGAAAATTATAAGACACTGAAGAGAGAAATTAAAGAAGATACAAATAAATGGAACCACATACCATGGTCATGGATAGGAAGAATTAATATAGTTAAAATCTCCATATTGCCTAAGGCAATATATAGATTCAGTGCAGTTCCTATCAAACTACCAAGGGCATTTTCACAGAAGTAAAAAATATAATCCTAAAATTTATATGGAACCGTTAAAGACCCCGAATAGCCATGGCAATCCTGAGAAATAAGAACAAAGTCGGAGGTACCACTACCTGACATCAAATCATACTACAAGGGTACAGTAATCAAAACAGTATGGTATTGGCATAAAAACAGATACATAGATCAATGGAACAGAATAGAGAACCCAGAAATAAATCCATTCATATATGGTTACTTAATATATGACAATGGAAGCAAGAATTTACATTGGGATAAAGATAGTCTATTTAATAAATGGTGCTGGAAAAATTGTACTGACACATGCAATAAATTAAACTGGATCACCTCCTTATGCCATATATGAGAACAAATTCAAAATGAATTAAAGACTTAAATGTAAGACCTGAAAACGTAAAACTCCTGGAAGAAAATATAGGAAGTAAATTTGCAGACTTACCCTGAGTAAAATTTTTACTGATATATCTCCTCGGGCAAGGGAAGTAAAAGAAAAAATAAAGATATGGGATTACATCAAACTTAAAAGCTTTTTTTCACAGCAAAGGAAACCATCAATAAAACATAAAGGAAGCCCTCTAGCTGACAACCCCCCTCCCCCAACGCCCCACTCCTCCCCCCCAATATCATATCGGGTAAAAAGTATAACTATTGCACTGTGTTGTACAGCTGAAACTAATTCTAAAAAATGTGTATTTCACAATAAAAAAAATAATAAAAACAAACAAAAAAAACAAACGTAAAGGAAGCCTACTGAATGGGAGAAAACATTTGTCAATGATATATCTGATAAGGGGTTAATATCCAAAAATTTTTAAGCACTTATGCAAACTGAACACCAAAAAAACAACCGAATTAAAAAATGGGCAGAGGATATGAAGAGACATTTCTCTAAGAGGACATACAGATGGCCAACAGGCATATGAAAAAACGTTCAACCTCACTAATCATTAGAGAAATGCAAATAAAAACCACAATGAGACACTACCTCACTCCAGTCAGAATGGCTATCATCAATAAATCAACCAACAACAAGTGCTGGTGAGGTTGTGGGGAACAGGGAACCCTGTTGCACTGGTGGTGGGATTGTGGATTGGTGCAGCCACTATGAAAATCAGAATGAGGTATCTCAAAGAACTGGAAATGGAACTACCTTATGACCCAGCAATTCCACTCTTAGGTATCTATGCAGAGAAACCCAAGACGCTAACTCGAAAAAGTATATGCACCCCTATGTTCATTGCATCATTATTTACAATAGCCAAGACTTGGAAATGCCCATTGGTAGACGACTGGATTAAAAAAGTTTGGTACATTTATACAATGGAGTATTATGCAGCTGTAAAGAGGAATGAAATCTTACCATTTGCAACAATATGGATGGACCTAGAGAACATTATGTTAAATGAAATAAGTCAGTTGGAGAAAGACAAATACTGTATGATCTCACTTATTGTATACGTGGAATCTAAAGAACTGAATAAAGGAGCAAAGTAAACAGAAGTAGTCTCAGAGATATAGAGGAAGAACTGATGGTTGCTAGATGGGAGGGGTGTGGGGATGAAAGAAGGGGAAGGGATTACATAGCATAAATTGATAACTACAATATTGCCACAAGGATATGAAAGACAGTTTGGGGAATATAATAAATAATGTTGTAAATATTTTGTAGGGTGTCAGATGGTCACATGTCTTGTTAGGAAGACAACCTCATGGACGGTGTACATGCTTGACCAGTGCAGTATACACTTGAAGCTGATCTTGAATAATATTGTATGTCATCTGTAATTTAATATATATATAGTCACGGGATATGGAGTATAGTGTGGGGAATGGAGTCAATGAAATTGTAATAGATGTGTATGATATGGGGGGGTGGATTGGGGAAGGGGATTGTCACTTTGTAAGGGATGAAAAGTGTAACTGGCATTGTTTTGTACACCTGAAATTTAATAATAAAATAAATTTATACATCTGGAATTTATAAATCATTTAAAAAAGAAGAATATGTGGTATATATACACAATGGAATACTATTCTGCCATAAGAAAAGATGAAACACTGCCATTTGCAACAACTTGGATAGATCTCGAGATTATTATGCTAAGTGAAATAAAGCAGACCGAAAAAGTCCAGAACCATATGATTTCACTGCTATGTGGTATATAAAACTGAAAAAAAACAAAAGAACAAGACAAACACATGAAGAAACAAAAACTCATAGACACAGACAATGGTTTAGTGGTTACCAGAGGGTAATGGAGGAGGTAGGTGGTAGATGAGGATAAAAGGGATCAAATATATGGTGATGGAAGGAGAACTGACTCTGGGTGGTGAACACACAATGTGATATATAGATGATGTATTACAGAATTGTACACCTGAAATCTGTGTAACTACTGAAATTGTCACTCCAATAAACTTTAATTTAAAAAACAATAAAGAAGCATAGATAGAGGGGTGTATTGACCTATGTTTAAGAAAGCAAATATAACAAATGTTAATGGTAGAATCTAAGGGATGGGTATATGGGTATTATTCACCGTAAAAGTCTTTCAACTTTTATTTTTTTGTATGTGTGAAAATATTTGTAATACAATTTTGGAAATGAAATTAGAATGGGACATCAGTGTATATCATACTCTTCATTGTTTTGGTCTTTCTTGCAATACATATTAGAATAGTTAATACATTGTTATATTGCAATTTTGTTACAACACAAACTCCTCTATTCTGGAATTTGATGGGACATGAGCACCCACCTATAGAGATTTATGTATTGTGTGAAACCTTGTCACATTGAAATCTGCTTCTAACTGGATTCTGAAGGATGAAGCTTTATGATGGTATTAAAACAAATCTCTGAAACTTGAGATCAAGACCTGGATTCATTGTTTGCTAAGTTTATAAACCTGTGAAAATCTCTCTGGTGTTCTGGGTCTCATCTTAATTCCTCATCTATGGAATTAAAGCATTCATTGGAGTGTTGAGTACTTCTTCATGTTCACCCCTCATACAGAAATATTGCATAAAGCTGATACTAAAAAGGCAAATGCATTTTCCCTTTACATTTTTGAAATCTTATTACATGAAATCAAAATTTTCACATGTGAATATGTAAGGTGATTCTTTAACATTAAAAAGTTCACATAAATATGCATAATGCTACAACTGGCCCGTGCTCTCATTAACATTGGTATCTATACTCAGCAGTGTGCTGGTAAATGTTGAACAACTGGCTCTCAGAAAAGAAGGAGGGAGGGAGAGAGGAAGGAGAAAAGGAAGGGAAAGGAAGCAAGAAAGACAAGGTAAAGGCAAAAAAAGAAAAGACCTGATTGGTATCATTTGCAAACTTCTGTGGTGTAAATACTTTCACAGTAGCCAATTCAAGCTACTAAAACGATGTCACTGAACATGAAGTTGGGAAGAGATGTGACAGGTGGCTGCAACTGGCTGTACTGGTATGTCTGTTGTAACCTATATCTGAATTATTGGGAAAAGCTCCCAGTTGTACAATTATTATTTATATAGCCAATTAAAATATCTGTACAGGTCTGCATTTTGGTTATTTTTGTGGAAAAATATTCAGGATATAGAAGTAATGTTTAAATTGTATTATATATTCTGGCCCAATTATGAAAATTCCTTTTTTCCTCAGATAAGTTTGGTGTGCAAAAAAATATGTGTCCCTGTGTAGTATACTCACCAGCTGTATATTTCAAAGGAAAGTCTGAAATTGGTTGTGGTGATTGGAAATGTCTGTTAGTGGCTCTGTAGTGACCTGAGCTTGTATGTAGTTAAAGGGGGTTTTCTCTTGTCATTTTAGGCATTTTTGTTGCCTTCCTGTGACATAGCTGTAACAAGGAAAGTAGTTCAAGTGTATAGGAAGTGGATACTCCAAGACAAACCTGTGTTCATGGAGGAACCAGATAAAAAAGAAGTTGCCCAAGAAGATGCTGAAAAATTAGGATTTTCAGAGACTGGCATCAAGGAGGTAATATTTTATCACTTGTTTCAGTTGGGAGTGTATATATTCTAGCAACATTTTACCTGCTTAGTCAAAGGTCCCAGTCGGTGGGACACAGGCAGGTGGATCTGGTTTGTATCACCTGCGATACTCTCTTGTGGTTGAGCTCCTGAAGACATGCCTCAGTGAGGCTGCTTGTGTGCTCTATTCAAGATCATCGGCTCTCTCCTAATCCTCAGGCTAGATCCACATGTGCATTGCATCTTCATTATACACCCTTGCATGAGAGTTGTTTAATAAATCATCATATTTTACACATCTCTGTATGAGCCTAAAAATGTCACTGCCTTATCGTTGACATGTTTAAATAAATAGCATTTGAGAAACTAAATTTAGAATGTTTTGGGAACGTTTTCTTGTGTAGTGGCCTATTCCAATGGCAGTCGGGATGTTACACACTTGAAAGGACTAACTTAGTAAAGAAGAGTGTTGTCTCCACCAGAAGTAAGCCTCACTGTAGGGCTGGATGCTGTCTTCAGAGACTGGTAGTGTCAGAATGGACCTCTTTAGTCTGTGTTCAATAAAGCTACAGTCTAGATTAATCTAAAACGACAGAGTGGGACCTCTTCCTGAAACACAAAAGAAGCTTAAGTCATATTTATATTTCTGGCATGCTATTTTGAAATCTAGTCTGAGAAACTATTTCTAAAAGTACGTGTTTGTCATAGCAATTAACAACTAACATTTAAAAATATTGGTAACCACAGGCATATCATTTTAAAATATCTATTACATACTTTTGATTTTGGTGAAATCATTTTTAATAACTAGTCAGGAGCAAATGGAATTAATCACACATTTTAAAGGTCTATGTTACGTGCTCATTCAACCATTGGATGTTTGTTTATTTTTTCAGTAGATGTTAAATGACAGGCACTATTTTAGGTGTTAGAAGTAGAGTGGTGAAGAAAATGGAAAAAAAAAGTTGCCCTCCTAGAACCTATATTTTTGCAAATTCTGGTGAATTTAAGGAATTAAATAGATGAATGTGTGCTTCTTCCCTCTCTGTTAACTGATTGTTATTTTCTAAAGACCACGTCTGAAAGTTCTGGTCATAAGCGATCTTCCAGTTGGGGGCGAACATACTCCTTCACCAGTGCTGTGAGCAGAGGGTGTGTGACAGAAGAAGAAAATAAGAATGTGAAAGCTGGGGCTCAGGCTATGCTGCAGGTATGTGGCCAACCAGACAGAGACATAAAGGCACTCAACTGGAGTCAATTTGAACTTTATTTATTGGGGGTAACATATAAAGTATGGTGATAGTTGTTTTTGCCTTTTGTCAGTAAACAGCTCTTAAATTCTCGTTCTAAGTTGTCTTCCTGATTTCTCACTTTATATTTGTAAAGATTTTTTTTCTAGTCAAAGGAGACATATGAACTGTTTGCAACTTTTTTAGAAGGATTATACAATGAATGTGAAATGATTGAGATTTAAATCTTAAAAGTATCTTCTGAACACAGGTAATTAGTTACCTAAACTCTAATTTGCAAGTTAAGTGTGGTTGACTATATAATTTTATAAGTAATATTTCTCTTAAAAATTGCCTGTGTTTATGAAGAATGATGATTAATGCAATAACTTTTAGATATTTATCTGAATGAATTTATGAAATAGAACTGATACCATTTGGGAACATTGGAAAGAACATCTTTGGCTCATCACTTAATCTCCTCTAGACCTCAGGATTTTATCTCGAAAATGAGGAATGGGAAATTACCTCTTGGTCCCATTCAGCTTGAAGGTTGTTAGGAGTATAAGCGAAAATACAGGGTGCTTCCCCTTCCTCCACCCTCTAGCACCCCATCCTGCATCCTGTCTCCACATTTACAGCTGTGTCCAATTGGGTCTCCTACACAGAGGACAGGCATTGAGTCTGGGGATGGCATGCATGTTACCCAGTCTTGAATGACACTGTGTTTCTATCACCTGTCTCTTCATAGGATTTCTTATCATGGAATCCTTTTATGTTTTCAGGTTAATTAGTAGCTTATACACTAACTTACGAATTTTTGCATTTTTCAGTGAAAATCAACTAATTTGAAATTTTAAAAAAATCAGTATGGTTTTACTTGAGTATCTTCAAAGAACTTTGGTGCAGCTCATAAGTATAACCCCTGTACCCACCAAAGAAATGCTTGCGGGAGTCCCTGCCCTGAGGTCCTTGGTAGCCCCTTCTTCCAGGTGGATACCATATTGCCATTGTTAGCCATCCCAGTGTTAGCTTGTTAGGGGTTGCAGATATAAGTTGTCTCTGTGGGCTCAGAAGAGTGTTATTTTTTTATGTTTTCTGAAAGGATAAGTTACATCTAGTTGGCTGAACCAAGAAAAAAATAGTGCTATAGTTTTTAAAACTATTTGGTTTGGATTTAAATAGCTGTTTTTGTACTCATTGTATCCAGTACCTTGGCCCTTTCCTTGGTTCATTAGGGAAAAGTGGCCAAATGGAGTTTTGTTGAGATAGTACTCTTATATAGTTGCTTTTGACAAGTATGATATGGACTTATTAATTTTGTTTATTTTTACTTTAACGTATACTAACATGGTTACAAGAAATATTTAGGTAGTTGCCATTTTGATTGTTGTTTTTTTTATAAAGTAAAATGAAAGAAGTATAATATATGATGACTTCTTAATTTTATTTGAGAATATGCAAAAGTTTCAAATTCAAATCAAGAAGCCAAATACATTGAATTTAAAATATCTGTATTGCAATATATCATCTATGCATACTTCCTTAAAAAAACAGTCACTAAAACTGCTCAGTTTCTTAGTAAAAAAGTTCTTTGTTTTCTTTTTTCTTACTTGAAAGCTAGAAAATTCTTCATCATTGCTGTTATCTATTATCAACTATTAATTAGTAATTCTTCCTAGAAAATTAGTACATGATATGTTTTTAGTATTACATAAGATAATCTTAGAGTCTGTCAACATTTTAGTTCACCCATTTGACTTTTGAATATATGCATTTCTCCCATCAGTTTATGTATCTGTTTTGAGATACTGTGTTAATGGATTTCATCCACAGTAGATCCATCTTCATTACCAGACTGACAACTCAGAATTTCCTAAACTGAGGGGTTGCTTGTGTCATCTGTCTAAATGGTAGCACATTGTTATTTTATTGCAGTGCCCCTAAGCAGTAATTTCCCACAGGATAGCCTGGGTCGGTGCTTCTCACAGTTTTCTACTGAACTACCCTTAATGGTAGAGGACAGTGAACTTGTATCTTAAAGGTCTGAGACAGAGTGTAGAGTGGTAGGCTGATTACCTAAATTTTTTTTTTGAATCTGTTTTTATCTTAAGAATTCACTTAGGTTTTATATTCAGTATAGTTCCCATATTTAAAATATATGCTCCCGGAGGATGTGTAATGTCAATCATGTGGCTTTGGCTATTTCCTGGCAGCCACTGCACTGCTCCTAGAGGTGCACACACCCTTGTGGGGTGCTGCTGGCTGTGCTTCCTGTCAGCAAGTCTTTCACATGTTGGGAGATTCAACAATAAATAATCAGATAGTTCTTTCCAGCCACTTTATGACCACAGCTCCTTTTCCTCTCCCCTTCTCCCACCCCAAAATTTTTCATCCAAAGGTTGTGATCCTGTCTTATCTTTTTCTCTCTCGTTTTAAGGGAACGTCAAAAAGAAGTCTTCAAAAGATTTTCTGATTCATAAAATTCCTGAAGTTACAATATTATTATGTAATAGTAATTTTTCCTAAGGAAGTTCTTGCAGGTGTCTCAGTTTTTAAGTGATTCTAAGAGTTGAGCAAAAGAAAAACTTGAGTATGTGTTGGTATCACTTGCCTTAAGTGAAATAACTCAAAGGTGATTCATTGGCAAAGTAAAATTAGTATCATTAGTCTTAAGCAAAATTTGTTCAGATGTATATGTTTAATAATAATTTCTAATGTAAAATTTGTTGATTATAAGGTATTCTTGACAAACGCTGCAAATGTCTTTTTGCTGGAACCATGTGCTGAAGTTCCCACGCTCTTGAAAGAACAAGTTGATGCTTGTAAAGCTGTTTTGATTATTTTTAGGCGCATGATAATGGAGCTTACAATGAATAAAAAGACATGGTAAGATTATTTCAAATTAATTAATATTACAAAACAGATGTTTCTGTTTTCAACATAATTAAAATGTTACAACCTCCACTTATATGGCTTTACAAAGTTAACAATAAGATGATCACTCTTTTGCAATAGTTCCTATGAATTATGAAGAAAGTATCTATTACTTTGATGATTCATTTATTTTCATTATTGGTTTTCAAAATGTTCTTGAATTAAGAATAAATAATCATATTACTTTAATAGATTTTTTTCCATTTTAAAGTGACATCAAACAGTTTTGTGGAAAAGCAGTATAACTGGTGTTTTATAATATCATTCTTCATAAGCCCAGGAGAGTTTGTTAATTGCTCCAAAATGCTGTTAACTGACTTTTATTGCTTAAAACTTGAAGTTTTAAATTCATTTTGGAAAACCAATCATTTTAAATGATAAATTGTCAGAGTGACTGAACAAATACTGTAGTGAAAAATATAATGGTGTTGTTAAAACATGCTTATGCAAAGTGTTTTCATTTTTACCTTTCACGTTTGTTGGGTGTTTTTATCATATCCATAAAAGGTAAACAATGCATTATGCTTTTTCCGTGCCCTTCTCCCATAATGAGTATCTTCACATCACTCCAGTTTCTGAGGTATTTTAGAGGTTCTCAGCCACAAACCAGACTCCTCAGAGCTACTTTCCACTCTGTCTTCTTAATGCATTGGAAAGGCAACCCCTCAGTTCTGCTTTGAAAATGTCTCTCTTGTCCACCCTTTGCATGTTTCTCCCACCCAGCCACCTTCCTCAAACAGACAAGCTGCCCTCACTGCTTGCCTAGCTGTGGTCAGCACTCCTCTCAGTGTTCTTTGGCCTCAGCCTTCAGTCCACTGAGGCCACTGCAGACCAGCACTGGTGGCACACTTCCCTCCTGGAAATCCTTGGTAGGTCTTTGTTACCAAGCCTGTGTTCTAGATTCTCTTTCTGGACGTCCTTGAGTCAGCACAAAGGGTGCATTGGAGGGATCTGTCTGCAGGTGGTGAAAGCTGTAGAAATGAGGGAGGACTGAGCTGGCAGGGGCCTCTGGGTCCATCCAGTGCAGCCCTTTCTCAGATGAGAGAAGGGTGGGCCTAGAGGAATCCTGTCCTGCAGAAAGTTCACTAATACAGAAACGGCAAGTATCACAATGATTATTTAAGATTTAAATTCCACTGTCATCTTTTTCAGACCTTAAAACTTAGCACTCTTTGCCAAGAAGTAATTGTTAAAGCTAGAAGTATTAGACAGATGGACGATACGATTTAAGCGAAGTTAAATGATGTGTCAGTAATATTGAAAGTGATGAGAAATGCTAATGCTACTGTGCTTTCAATTGAAATATCTGCTCCTTGATACCACAGTTATATCAGTAGTATTTTTTATGTTTTTTTCTTTGAAAACTCTGAATTCAGTATACTATTGTATCAGTAATATTTTGATATTTTTCATAATTTTTTGGTGAAAATTTTAGGAAATAAAATTAAGCAGTTCTTTTTAGTAATTTAATAATTCCAAAATTTCTAGGTAAAAATATTTAAAAAAGACAAATTATAGAAACAGATGACAATACTCACCAACAAATTGTCAGTAGAGCATAGAAAAGGATTTGACCTGTTTCCCTAGCAGATTTTTTTACGTATTTTAGTAGCAGACAATCCTTTCCCTTTCTTTCCTTCCTCTTTTCCTCTCCCCTCCCTTCCTCCTTTTGTCCAGTAAAGAACGACCAAGCTTCTGTTATGAGGATTTGGGTAAACTAGACAGATAACGTTCCTGCCCTCATGAAGTTTCCATCCTCATGGACCGAGAGGCATAATGAACACAGAGGCAATTTCAGTAGTATTAAGTGCTAAGGAGAACAAGGAGGCTGGGGAAGGGGCCTGTGTGGAAGGCAGGGGAGTGTTTTTCTTCAGGCCTGCGGGAAAGCCTTCCAGAGCAGAGCCCTAAGGGAAGGGAGGGAGGAGCCAAGGGGAGGTCTGAGGGAAGGAACAGCAGGTAACCAGCGCAGTGTGCTCCAGGCTGGACAAGGTGACAGCCAGTGTGGTGGAGAGGACAGAGGGAGAGGGGGAGTGGGAAGGGATGAGGCAGTGGGCCAGCCAGAACCAGGATGCATGGGGCCTTTGCAGGCCGCAGGAAGGACCCTGGCTACTGCTCTGTGTGTAGCAGTGTGACACACATCTGATTTATGCTTCCAGAAGATCTCTCTGACTGACATGTAGAGAAGAGACAGGGCAGTGGGTGGAGCACAAAGTCTGTGGCCAGAGATGATGGTGGCTTAGACCAGGGCTGTAGCCAGGGAAGTGCTAAGAAGTGGTCCTAAGACTGTGAATACTGGTACGTGAATGAGCAACAATGCCATCTGTGTGAGATAATGAAGACAGGATAAATAATAAAGAGTGCAGGGAAACCCTGTTCCTTTGCCAACACAGGGATAGCTCATACGTGTAATTTCATGTGCTCTGATACAAGTTTGTTACACTCTTTGCACTTCTCCTTTGAGGAGGAATGACCAAAAGTCAGTGTTTTACAGAATAGAAGGGAACAAGCTGAAGTCAAAACTGTTAGGAAAGATTTTTCCAAACTGGAGACAATTTTTCATCCTCATTTTCTTCCAGAAGACTCTGCATGTATTTCCAAGCTTTCATAGGTTCAGAAATGGTCTTATTTGTGGTCTTAGTTGAAATTATTACATCTCTTGTTCTCATCATGTTCACAGGATGGGTATGTAGCCATTCATGTGGAAAGAGTCATTTTTTTCGTTGTCTTAAACATCACAGTAATATGAGCAGGCAGTGGTGACATTGGGGGCTGCCTTTCCTTCCACTTGTGACAGGTGCCTAGGGACCCTGAATTTGGTGAGCCACAGGCTGTCTCTAGCTCTGCGCCATTCTTTCCTCACTCTCTTTTTCACAGTTGCTCCATGCACATGTGCCCAGATCTTTCATGACTTGATAGCTCTTCTTAGTCTGTGCTCCAGAATTCACAGGCAGTGTATAGCACAAGCAGACTGCACAGAGGGCAGTGAGAATGTATGCCAACAGATAACCCCAGGATGAAAATCCAGTGGGGTCAGCTGCAGATAGGGCAGGGAATCCCTAGAGGTCATTAACCATGAGAAGTTTAATGAGATTCAATGTCATGTTAAGAGAAAATACTGTCCCAGTATGCAGAAATATGAAAAAAGTGTAAAGGAACTATGATTTAGAGATTATCTGACCTGGACAAGATGACTGTCCAGTTCTCAATTTTATCATTAAAGAGCAGTAAGGCCAAGGGGAAAGATAAACGAATGGTTAGTATGTGAGACCGTAAAGGAGAAGTTAAAAGGAACCGAGGTGATTTCCCTCAGAAAAAATAGACCTCCATTATATACAAAAGATAATGTATTATCCCCCCCCCACCCCCATGGGATTTGGGAAAAGAAAAAGTGAGCAGATGCTCTGATATGAATGTAACTTAGCTGTAAGAAAGAAAAAAGGCTTTTGGTTATGTGAAAGAATTTATTACTATTATCATAATTAGTAGTGTTATTCTGTATTTCTAGTGCTTTATTCTCTTTAAAGACCTTTTACATAAAAAAAAAAAACCTCTTCTGCAAGGGACACTGTAACTGAGATGTCATGATTGCAGCTGTCTCAGTTGTGCCTGTGGTACAGTCAGGATATTTCAGGCACAAAGCTCCACGCCTCAAAGTGGGCGGTGGTGACATTTCCAAACCTCCCTACTTTTACGAGCACTGTGGAGTTCAGTCATACTATGATGCTGACTGCGTATCTCCCCAGAATGAAGACCAGAAAGTCGGTTTTATTTTTTGTCACAAAGATAGATAAGGAGACTATACAGGTTAAGTAAAATAATGGATGTGGAAATTCAGTGGTGCTGCATAAGTTCAAATAGGCACAGCTATTCACTGAGTACCTGCCACAGTTGGATAAACAATCTTGTCTCCCTTTTTGTAAGGGGAAAAAATCAGGCTAGGATGATGCCTGTTTTATCCTGCCTGTTTATGTGGGCATAGGAGGCTTATTTTTAGACTATAAGACAACTTATTTTGATAAAATATGGTATTATATAATGGGCATTCAGAGTTTTAATACTTTTGAGTAATACATGTTTATCAGTGTTGCTGAATTCTTAAAAGAATTTCTTGTACCTATAAATTAAAGTGATTTGGTGATGTGATTAATAATATGAGCTTTTATTTTCGGTGGCCCAGGGAACAGATGTTGCAAATACTACTCAGGATAACAGAAGCTGTCATGCAGAAGCCAAAGGATAAACAAATAAAGGACTTGTTTGCCCAAAGCTTGGCAGGGTTACTGTTTAGGGTAAGTCTTTTTTATTAAAACACTGCAAATGCAAGAAATGAATCAGATTTTACAGCAAATTTGTTTTAATCACTGAGAATTTTAAGAGTAAAATTAAACTTAACTTTAAATTTCTAGAAATTTAATTAGACATTTTCCTTCTTAGTTTTGTCCTGAAAGTTGTAATCTATTCTTTACAATTAGTTCATGGCTTCTTTTAGGCCTTCCTACCTCTCCACCATCTATTTTCTCTTTTGATTTGCTTGCAGTTGGTAGAAATTAGGAAAATGACAAGAGCTGATGATGGCTTTGGTGGAAGGCCAGATAGATTTGAAGAGATAAAGGATGAACAGAAGCATGGGAATGGGAATAAGGTCAAGGAGCAGTTCAAGCTAGAAATAAAAATGCAAGAACCGTTGTTGTGTTGGGCAATTATGTTTAAACATACAGACTGAATGGGATCACCTTGGGAGAGAATATGTGTCATAGAAGGAAGAGGGCTATCGCCATGATTGGTGGAAGAGAGGAGCCAGCCAAAGATGCTGAGGAAGAGTGGCCAGGGAGATAGGAAGGAAACGAGAGGTGCATGTGTCCTGGTGCCTGGAGAGGAGTATTGGGTAAGAGGAGAACAGCCAGTTTGACCATTGGCTTCGATGATATATAGGTGGTTGAGAATGTTTTAGGAGAATGAGGCCCACATGGAGAGGATGGAGGAGAAAATGAGAGCTGGACCGTGGAGGTAGTAAGCATACTCAAGGCTTTGTAGAGGTATTGATGTGGAAGGGAGATGGAAAATGGAGCTACCTGGAATGGGCTGCATGTGTGAAGGGCAGGTTTAAGGTGGCTGGTATACCGTAAAGTATGTTTGCTTTCTAGTGGGGATGGTCCAGTGAGGGAGAACAAGATTATCTTGGGGAGAGAGAGAACTATAGCAGTAAAGTCTTGGATAAGGTGAAGAGGACTGGGCTGGCCTTAGGTGGGAGCAGAGAGCCAAGGAGATGGCTCTGTTTCTTGGCATCTCACATGATGAGAAGGATCAAGAACACTAGTAGTCTGATGTTGCCCTGAGGGGAATAGAAAGCAGATGATAAATAGCTGCCTGGGAAGTGGAAGTTTTAAGGGTCCTGAGGGCGATAGCCTATTGCAACTGTTAGAAATCACCAATATTTATGGAATGCATAGAATTTATGAAGCATTTCTGAAAGGGAACAGTGTGAGAGAACTCGGGGAAAATGTGACATTCTACATACATAAAGGCATTAGTAAGTACAATGGATGGGACTGGCTTTGAATAATTTGATAGGAGAAAGCATAGTAGATCATGAGCTGGAATGGACAGTTACCGGGAGAAGTTAACTTCTGTCCTCAGTTACCATGAGGTGGTTTTGGACGATATATATTAAGAGCATATCTAGAATACAGGTAGGATATGGAAGTGAAGGTGATAAAAAGAAATTAGTTCTTTAAATAAAGCTAATTAATCCCATTGTGATACAAGAGAACTCAACTGTTCATAGCAATTTTTAATAAATTTGATCTTAACTGGATGAAAAATGTATGAGAGGCTACAGAAATAATTGGCATGTATTCACTTGCCTCCTGAATAGTATAATGTCTTGTACTCTGGTTGCCTTGCCAAGTTATTAGATATATGAAGTGGTCTACACATCCTTTTGTGAGTGTCCAACTTGGCTGTGCTCTTGCCTCAAGGATGGCACTGACCACTTGCTTGGCTGCCCTCCTGGAGATACAGACACTGCTCACCTTGCTCTGATTCTCATGGAGCATCTCACTGTTGGCTCCTTCCTGGTCTCCCAGTCCTGATGGGACTGGGCTGTCAAGTGACATGGACTGAAGCAAGGCTCCTACTGGCGGGTGCTTAGGCCTTATTCCTCACCAATTACTTGGCCCTGCAACTGTGTGTGTTGGAATTAGAGTGAGAACTCACTGAATTAAGTAATTCAGACTACTGTGAATTGTGTTTTTTGTTTGGTTGGTTGGTTTTGGTTTGGGGGGAAAATCTACCTCATTAAAGGAGAAATCTTGTCAGATCTTACTTGAAGATTAGTTTTGAGTCAGAGGTTATTAATGATTTTGATGTTGTTGTTATTGTTTTGGCAATAGTTAGATAGATCAAGAAGAATACTTACATTAAGAATTAGCCATAAAATAATGGAGAGAAGCTGAACATTGGGGATTTAGATTCTAGGTTCTGATCCCAGCTCTGGTTACGTCTGTCTGTGTGGCCTTGAGGCAAATCACTTCACCTTTCTGAGTCTCTTCCCTAATTTGTCACTATCAGGAAAGGATACCTTCTTATCTTGCAGCGTTGTCATAACAATGAGAGTGGATTCATTTGGGATGTATGATGATCTTCTGTGAGATCCAGTGGGGGAGAAAAATGTGAAAGGTGTGGATAGAGCTGCCAGGCAATCAAGTGGGCATCATCTTAGTCCCATACTGAAATTAAAATGTCATTTAATTATTATTATTATTATTTTATCTTTTCTGTTAGGGTTGGGTTAGGGTTAAGATTAGGGACATGGTTAGGGTTAGGGTTAGGGAAAGGAACAGGTTTAGGGTTAGGGTTTGGTTTGGGGACAGCCTTAAGTTTAGGGTTAGGATTAGGGACAGGGTTAGGGACAGAGGTAGGGTTAGCTTTTTTTTTTTTTTTTTGTATCATCTAATTATTATTCATTCATGTAGACTGTCTACAACAGCTAGATACTTAATTTTTTAAAATTTGAGGAGACTATTAAAGGGGACAGGAAATTTTAAGTTGCCATTATCCTTTTATCTTTTACTAATTTTTCATTTAGTGAAAAATTTAGTTTTTTTTCTGTCAGTAGATAACTTTGAGTTGACAAATTTTCTTCAAATGATAGTTGAGTTTTACTTAGTTTAAATATTTACCAAATAATGGTGATTGCCATAAATGATGTTTTAATATTTTGTCAGTGCTAACTGTGACCTATGCCTGAAGCCGGAAATTTGTACTATGGTCCTTCTATTTATTACTTTAAAATTGTGTAGTCCCCTAAGTGTGATGACTAGAGAAATGTATGTAGAGAGTGGCTGGTTAGGAAATGTATGTAAAAAACGGAGCGATTTGCTAGTAAAGATGTTTTTTTTAATACAGCTTCTATACTGAGATGTGTTTGATAAAACATGAATTTTAGTGCTAAAGGAACCTTGAAGATACTTTTCTCCAGCTTTTTATTTCTAATGAGAAATATGACTCCAGAAAAGCCAAGTAAATTGCCCAGGTCACAAACCAAGATAGCAACAGAACCAAGAGTCTGGGGCTCTCTTTCCCTCTTTCTTTTAGAAAAGGGTAACTTATTAAAATGGTGCCCTGTCTTCATGTCCAAAGTCCAAAGATGCCACTTGTCACCCGCTGACTCTTATGATTTGCTCTGTGGCGAAGTGTTGTTAGTTGTAAATTATGATGATGATTCAACAGGTCTGTGTACATATACGTGAGATTGCTAAGATGAATTTTATAAGCTGCAGTAAGTCGTTGTTCTGTCCTTGTTTTATAATTAGCCAATAAAGTGAAGCCAATGCTAGATTCCCAATATAGGGCATCTTACTACACCAAAACAATTGCTTTTAAACCTGAAACTAGTGATATAACCAAATATGAGTCTGAGTCCTGGTGACATTGTCAGCCTCTACTTAACTCTGTTAAGATTATGTTTTTGATCTACTGTTTATTAATTTTATTGTATATATGCTCCTTGTGGTAATGGCTTCAAACTTATTTTGAAAACAGGAGTATAAAAATGAATAAACAGAAGCTAGTATTTTAGTCATAAAAATATATAATAAATTATTAACAAATGATAAATTTATTTTAATTCTTTATTTTGCATTGTTCTTAATTTTTAAAAAATTAATTCATCTTAAAATCAGATTTTAACTATGAGTGTTTAAAAACCTTATTTTTCAATGTACTTCATTAAGTTAGCTCAACTTTAACATTTTTACCCCTTTAAAAAGTATAATAAACATGAATTGAAACATAGGAAAAAAGTACATTGCGTAAGACTCACTTATATATGATTTTTCAAGTAGTCAAAACACACCTGCCTAATTACAGACTGTTTACTATTTCTCAAAGTTTCCCTATGTGTATGTTAAAGAAAAATTTCTTTTAATTAAAAAGATTCACCCCTATTCCATTCACATCACAGCTCCCAGTGACAGTGGGAGTCTGTTTGCAACCAGGTTAGGAAGAAATATTTGCAAGTTGGCACCTTAACAAGTACATTTAGCTCTGACAACAGATCAAGGAAGTTACACAGATTTTGGATATAAAGAATCCTCTACTAAGATTAGGGAAGCATCTGGGGCATATCTGAGATGGACTTGGCACTTTTTTCAAGGGAGATACATTTTGATTTGAATTTTAATGGATGTGAAATATTTTGACAGAGGCAAGGAACTGGGCAATTTCAAGGTAAGGAAATATCCAGAATATATGCGTAATTGTCTTGTAGGGTTGCCCATGTGACCAGTTCTAGTGCTGTGGACCATAAGAGTAGAGGAGGGACAAAGGGAAATTAATTGACTCATTAGGAAAGGAGCAATAAGTATGCTAATGGGGGAAATGCTGAGAACTGTGGGAAACAAAAGCTACTTACTGGAGGCTAGGAGTGGGGTGGCAGGCAGGGACACCTTGGAGGAAGTGATGTCCAAGTTGTGACCTGAAAAATGCGTGAGAGTTAAAAGAGGCCAAAGGGAGGGAAGAGAGGGAAGTAGCAGGAGAGACCAGGTCTAGGAATTGAAAGAATCTCAATGGAAGAAAGTGAATTCATTTTACTGTTATGTTGTATTATAAGTGCCTGCAGAACATGCAGGTAGAGCCATCTAGTAAGCAGATAGATAGATACATCAGGAAACCATCAAAGAGGCCTGGACTGAACCTGGAGATTCAGAAGTCAACAGTACACAGATATGACTGGAGCCGTGAGAATGGAGACCAAAACCTAGGCAGAAGATGGGGTGGCATGGGAGGGAGAGCAGAGCAGTCCATTGACTGGGAGATGAGGAAGTGCAGACGGAGTGAGTGTGGAACATTCTTACTAGAAATGTGGCTTTGAAAGGGAAGAAAAGGGGTTCTAGCCTAGAGGGGGGAATCTTTGTTCAAGGGAATTTTTTTTTTCTGAAGATGAGGAAGAATTGGAGCATGTTTAAATGCTGGCGGGAGGAGCTGGGGAAGTAGGATGGATTAGAGATAAAGGAGAGGAAGGGTTAATGGAAACACAGAGACTTGGAGGAAGGGATCCAGAGCAGAGCTGGGGACAAGTGTAGAAGAGCAGGAGCCCCTCTTCCCTTACAGCCTGCAGGTGGAGGAGAAGCTGGGCGATTGCATGGGTCTTGTGGGCAGAGGGTGAGGGCATTTTTATTAATAGGTTCTGTTTTCTCTGACATCTACAGTGAGTTCATCTCTGAAAAACCAGGGAGGAGTTGGTGGGGTTGAAGTAGCCACTGTAAAAAATGAGGGAAAGAGCTGTCTCAGGAAAGAATAGTTGTACAGAGAGCTTTGTCTTCTCCCTAGTTATGCCAGGACCAGCCACTGACCCTAGAATAATTTTGAATCAGTATTTTTTTCATGATGATAACTAACTTTACTGTAGCTCAAATCCTGATTACAACTGATTAAAGTTTTAAATTAAAAGAAAAACAATATACAAAGCACTTTTTATTTTAAGATTAATTTTATTAATAGTAATTTAAAATATTTTGTTAAAAATTATACTTCTTCCAAATGAAGATGATGTATTCTCTTGTTGGTTGGTTGGTTTTAGACGCTCATTGTGGCTTGGATCCGAGCAAACCTCTGTGTGTACATTTCTCGAGAGCTCTGGGACGACCTCCTTGGTGTGCTGTCCTCCCTTACAGAATGGGAGGAACTCATAAACGAGTGGGCCAACATCATGGACTCCTTGACAGCAGTGCTTGCGAGAACAGTTTATGGAGTTGAGATGACAAACCTACCTCTGGACAAGTTAAGTGAACAAAAGGAAAAGAAACAACGAGGCAAAGGTATTTCCGCTTTTACAGGGTAACACCAGATATCTGAGACATCAGGGAAGCAGTGTGTATTTACATATGTAGGCTATTAATGTGTGAAATTTCATAATAAACTGAACCAAACATACAGGCAGTGTCTTTAATGGTGACGTTAAATTGTGTTTCATAGCACTCTGTTCACTTAATGAGGTTGATGAATTTATGAAGAGGCTGTGGAAGAAGAAGGAAGATGAAGGGGAGTACTAGCAGTAGTAGAAAAAACAATAATAATAATGGCTAGTGCTTTGTTCGTGTTTTTTTTTCTTTACCCGCATGGTCCCCTATGAAATAGATACTACTATCCCCATATCACAAAAAAACTGAAGAACAGAGTCCATAGTGATTGACTCATTCAAGATCACACATAGCTGAGAAGTGGTAAAGCCAGAAATCAAAGCCAAACAAGTCCAACTCAAGATGCCACACTATTGAGACATATTCTACTGCCTCCCTAGGAAAGGTGGGAAAATTCTGAATGCTTCAGATGAGAGTCATTTTGGCTTTGTTATGTTTCTTGGTAAAAACTGTTTTGAGACCTAGAGTCAGATCAAGGTGGAAAACATTAATGGTGGTTTCTTTGGGGATGACAATTTGGCAGCCCCTGTATTCACTGTGGCACAGTTCTTGAATTAATTCATTTGTATACTCCAACTAATTATGTAAAGATTTTGAGGCAGCTCATAGAGATATCAATAATACAGTAGATAAAATACATAAGGACATCAGGGTGTCCTTGACATGAAAGCGAGTGGAGATACAGGCATGGTTAAAATGCCAAAATGCATGCCAAAGAGCCTCATATACTTGCTGGGGAGGTGAGAAGGAGGCAGCCTTGGATTTGACTCTTATCTTCACTGGGTGACATCAGAGAATCACAGTGTACAAAAGGTAAAAACAGTCCACTTGCTTAGGTGATACATAGCTTCTGGTCTTAAGACCTGATAGGAATTTCTTCCCCAAAGGCTCATAAAGAGTACATTGCTTGCTGTAGTAGATGACAACAACAGTAGCCTTATTATAGATTGTGTCAGTTAGCTTTTGCTGTGTGACAAATCATCCCAAAACACAGTGGCTTAAACTAACAACCATTTATTTAGATCATGCTTTTTATGTGTTGGCGATTTGGATTGTACTCAGTTGGGAAGTTCTTCTGCTGATTCACTCCTGTATTTGCAGTCAGCTAGACTGAAATCATCAGCTCGGCAGCTATACATCTGTGGGTTGGTTGGCTGTCAGCTGGGGCAGTGGGGGCAACTGGGCCATATATCTTTTATCACCCAGCAGGCTAGCCAAGGCTTAGGGTTCCAGGAGCAGGAAGTAGGTAAGCCCACATTTTCAAATGCACTTGAAATCTGCTCTCTCAGTTTTGTTGCCAAAGTAAGTCATGTGTTGAAGTCCAGAGTCAGTGTGGGAGAAGACAAAAGAGGATGTGGTTACTGGGAGGTGTGAACCAATTACATGATTAATTAACCATAGGGACATGTAAATAATGTGACTGGTTCTTATAGTATCTTCATTGCAGTCTGTGAGTGGCTTACCAAAGCACCAGTTAGTAAAAGCAAGTTAATAAGCCAAAACAAAGTAGTTTAAGCACATGACATTCCAGTGGAACAGTTTAATGCCAGTTTAGACTGTCTAATGCAATGATTTTCTAACATATTTTAGAAGCAGATCCTTTTTTCTCCCCTTTTGAAACAATAAAGAGTCCTTCCTAAAATGTATATTAAACCAGAGATTTGGGAATGAAATAGGGTCAGGGAGTCAAGAGCCTGGGCTCTTGGCCTCTGTAGCAGCTCTGAGGGCCTTTGTGTAAACTCAGAATCTAAGAGGATCAAGATGCTTTTAGCCAGGAACTTGGCTCCCTAGTTCACAGCCTAGGGAATTCTGAGAACCAGAAGACTGGTTCTTAGCCTAGAAGAAAGGCTATCTAACTAGGGGTGACTTTCAGGATATAGTGGGAGTTGCTGAGACAGGAAGTAAGGATTTTTTCAAACTAAGTACATTCTCTGCCTCCTGAAATTCCTTTTTTTTTTTTTTTAAGATTTTTATTGGGGAGTCGGGGAAGGGAAACAGACAAGTTGTTCTTTTGTTCTTTAGTCTAGTTGTGGAGGATGTCGCTTCACTGGCCCATGTTGGTATTATCATTGCACTCTTCCCGGGTGAGGCAATTGCTCACCGGCCTTTGGACGGCCGCTCACGGTGGCTCATGGCAGCTCATGAAAGCTCACACCAGCTGCTGGCCAACCCCACTACAGTCTACGCCGTTGCCAGCGACTGATGGAAGCCCAGCTCCAGGTCGAGCTGTTGTTCGCCATCTCAGCTATAGAGGGCGCAGTGTCACTGGCCCTCATGTGGAATCTGAACCGGGGCCCTACTGCTCAGAGCTGGCATCCCAAGCCAACTCCTAACCAATGTGCCACTCCGCCAGCCCCTGAAATTCTTCCCCCCCCCTTCATTTCTGAAGGATTTTTTTATTGGATATATAATTCTAGGTTGACAGTTCTTTTAGCTCTGTAAAGAGTTCATGCCATCATCTTTTGACTTGCATAACTTCTGATAAGAAGTCTGCCATTCTTGTTTTCTGTATGTAATGTTTCCATTTCTATGATTACCGTTGAGAGTTTTTATCACTGGTTTTTGGCTATTTTGTTATGTTGTGCACTGGTGTGGTCTTCTTTGTGTTTTTCTACATGGGTTTTATTGAGTTTTTTCAAATTTAGAAAATTTCAGACCATTATTCTATTAAATATTTTCTCTCCCTATCCGCCCCCAATATTTCCATCTGGCACTGTATGTGTATACATGTATGTATACATATATGCATGTATATATCAATACACACATACATAAATATGCTAGACTGTTTGATATTTTACAATGATTACCAGTATTCTTCTTCCCACCCCTCCCACCCCAATCTTTTCTCTCTTTCTCTCCCTTTTTCTCTGTTTGCTTCATTTTGGATAATTTCTCATATCTTCATGGTCACTAATCTGCTGATATCTAATGTGCTATTAATCTTTTTTAAACTATTTTTTATCATGAAATACACATTTTTTAGAATTAGTTTCAGCTATACAACACAGTGCAATAGTTATACTTTTTACCCCTCAAAGTGACAACCCCCCTCTCCCAATCTGCCGCCCCACTTCCCCCCAATATCATACATATCTATTACAATTCCCTTG